AAATTGGTAGTGACAACGACAAAGCCGGGGGATATGAAGTATTGCGTGTTGTACGTAGTCGGGTAATCGGGACACCTCGGGTCGCTGGTTACAGCACAACGAAACTCTCTGGGGCACAATTGGTTCTCGGTGAGGCAGGGAAATTCTAGGCGTCTCTGCCTAAGATATTCTCTTACCCAAGGTTCGAAGTACCCTGAGTCCCATGAGTTCGGCATCTTGCCATTGCGGCCTAGTGGAAGCCTTCCGCACGCATCTAACTGACAAGGGGATTTCCCGATATGGTATCGGAAATTCCTACTAGTTTGGGTGCGTGGAAGAGGGAAAATTTCCCTCACCTACCGGAGGTGCCAGGTCCGTTAATGATCGCGAATTGCCCCGCGTGGATATGTGTAGGCTGCGCAGATCAGATCGCGCTTACACATATCCCCGCGGGGTGTTCGCTTGTACCCGAAAAGGGGAGAGTTTAATTCTTCATGCAGAATCGCCACGTGTCATGGACGACTACCAAATCATCTAATCACTCAGTGATCCCACAAGCAATCATTTCCGAGCATGCAAGGTGTCATTATACAACAGACATCGCAGCAACATCAGAACTTTCTACAATACTAACAACGTATCGTAATGGCACGCAATGATGATGACCAGACAGGAAAAACGACAAACACCTCATCCAATCATCCATTCATTCGACAAAACACACAATAACCGATATCAAGATCAATCACAAAACAGATGAGGGTTGAAACCAAGGCAGGGATTCCGAAAACAAAAGATGGGCGAATCGCCCTGAGCCGAGATCAAAACTTATATACAAAAGCAAAGAGGGAGACAAGACAAAGAAAATTGCAAATTTAATCCACGTCCATCAACCTTCAACTCTCTCTTCCTCTCTCTCTCTCTCCGATGCGGACAGTCCGTCGTCATGCACCCACCCACGAAGTCGTCACCCCGCTTAGTCCTCCTGCACCCATCAGGTTCGCCCGCACGCTACAGTCCGTCGTAGCCCCACTCGTCAACCCCGCACATTCGGCACCAGCTCGTCGAGTCGCCCGAATCTCACTTCAACTTACCTCTTACCTCGCTCGTGAGCCGACCCTCACTGATCGCGCTACCCCGAGCTTCCAACAACCGGTTAAGAGAGCTATCTAATCGCGCATCCAAAATTTATAGCGTGCATGCATGCGCGAAGAACACGGAATTACAAGGACTTAGAAAGCAGATCAGGGGAGGGAGTGCCTACGTTCTGCATGGTTAGATCGCAGCGTGGGGGACGTAGCCACTCTCCACGCATCGATCTGATCATGCAACCCGCGGGCTAGATAGACACAGCAAGGGAGAGAAAAAGCGGGAAAGACGAAGCTCAAGAAGAAGAATACAGTTACAAGGGCGCCCTGCCCAAAATCACAGTTACGCGCAAGATTAAGGGCGCCGGCTAATCGGAGCTCCGTTGCAGCGGCAAAAAGAAGCCCGCGAGCAAGAAGGCAGCGCGCGGCAAAAAAAATCCTAAATTCCTAAATTCTTAGCTAATGCAAAAATAACTTAATTCCGAAAAGAAAGTCCGAAATTCCGAGAGCCATCGAGGGCTCGACAAGATTCAAAAAAGAAATTCAAAAAGAAGCAAAACTTCCCGCGCGATTTCCGCGCCTAAAACCCGACAACAGAACAAAAAAGGAGCGACGTCAAACTTAATCGCGCCTTTGTCGGCGCGACAGCCACTCAATCGGCCATCTCGGAACTTGCCCGACCCTGAACCCAACCATCCGAAAAGAAACGACGCAAAAAGACGAAGAAGCGAGGACACCGATGCAATTTCCCTTCGAGCCCAATCTTCCGTAATTTGCCCATCCTTCCCATCTTAGGACCCCGCATTATCATCGCGCAGAAGATCGCACGGAGCAGAAATTGGTTCGTCACAAGGTTCTTAGCAAGGTGACCCAAAAATCATCCTTGGGCAGATCCTGCCCGACCGCCCCTTTCTCCCTTCGGTCTCGCGGATGGAGTGTGCACAAGAGAGTGATCAGAGGTGGTCCTCAATCCAGGTAAGCAGTTCTATCATTTGTGTGGTTTGGGGAGCTAAATATCGGATTTGTTATAAGGTTAGCTCCCTCCATGGAGGGTCCAGGCTGAGGATCGACCCCCTAGTAAGCCATTGAATGGAGAGGGCTCTGGAGGCCGGTCTGTCCCTCCATTGATTCGTTGTTTCCAGGGCGGGTTTGGAGGTCCATTCTCAATCGCCGTTAGTGGTGGGTTTGCCTTGGGTTGAGAGAGCAACTTCCAGTACTCCGATCTGTGCCTCGCACGACAATGCGGTTGCTCCGCAGGCCGACTTGAGTCCCTTGAGAGTGTATCCACCATCCCTAGGTTTTGCTATGCCAATTGACCACCATGTTTGAGATATGAGAGAAGCGGTCCATGAAACCCTAGATTTCTTCCATATTGTTAAGGGTTGCCTCCATTATGACCTTGAGGTCATCGGTGAACATGGAGCAGATTGGGATTGCCTCCTTGGGAAGGCCTACCACTAGGAGCCGTGTGACGTTTGCCTCCATCACTATCAGGAACAGGAAGGGTGCTAAAGGGTCCCTCTGTCGTACTGAGGGCTGCAGCCTAATCTCAGGGGCGAAAACACCGTTGATTTGTAACCCCGTTGTGGCGCTGTGATGAAGAATGTCCACCCATGTTCTAAGCTTCAGTCCAAAGTTTAGCTTCTCAAGGCATTTGTCAAGAAAGAGGCAGTCCACGTGTTTATAGGCTTGTTTGAAGTTTTGGAAGATGAGAACAGCATTGTGCTTGGACTGGCGGGATAGCTTGATCATCTCATTGACCAGCCGCACATTGTCTTGGATGATTGTCCCTCCATCTCCGGGACCATTCTGTTAGCTAAGGCTTTGACCATTAAGTCCGAGGACAGCGGCTATGAATCCCCCCCGGAGGCGGCCATGCGCGGCCTAGGCCGCAACCCCAGGGCCATGGAAAAAAAAAAGAAGAAATTCAAAAAATTCTGAAAACAAAATATGTTATGCAGAAAAATATACTGAACAACTTTTTTTTTTTTTTTTTTAMAAAAAAGCAGTATATTATATCATCACAGGCTGGAAAACGGGTCCAGCGTCCCTCACATCAATAACCACGGCCTGCAGGGATGAACCGGGCTCGTCGGCCCGGATTAACCCCACCGCGGCACCCGCAAACCTACGACGTGGCACCCTAATTAACTGTGATTAACACCACACTCTAATTAACTGTAATTAACATCCCGCCGTAATTGACAGAAATCAACACAAACAACCCTAACACTAAAGCACGTCGCACCGCAATAAACTGTGATTAACAACACACCCTAAATAACTGTAATTAACATCCCGCCCTAATTAACACAAATTAACAGCACTAACCCTAACAACTGAAACACAGACCAACTTAGACCATAGATAAGTAGGGCAACCGAAAGTCTACACCCCCAACCCTAGATGCTAAGAAACCCGACAGAATTCCGCCCAACAATCAACAAAACAAACAGCAAATTGAACTAATTAACCCTCCTACTGTACACAGACTTAAGAGCCTATTAAGGATGAAGATTCGCAAACTGCACCACGCCCAAAGCAGGAGCAACAGCAACGCTAAGCGACGCCGATCACAGCTTGAAGCCCGTTGTCGACGACGGTGGGCGATACCGGTCACAGCCAAGCTCTAGTGTCGCTCTCCCGTAAGCCGGCGCTTGTCGATGCACACGCGTCTCTCATCTCCCCATGAAACTCCAGCTTCTGACTCCGTATCAAAGCCAGGGGACAAAATCCCTGACAGGTTTCACATACTGGTATGTACGGCGCCCAGATCCCGCCCTTCGGACCACCACACATCGCCTCCTTCCTCCCGTAGTCTCTCCAGGAATGCCAGCATACACTGACCGGGACCAGGATATGGCAGAAGCATTTCAGTGCTTCCTCAAGGCAGCCCCCACCCTGCGCCCACGCACCTCTTCTCCCTCACCGCCTCCGCCACCCCAACCCTAGGTTTTGGCACCGTGCAGCACTGATCGCAGCTGCACGGACGCGATCCCCCACAGCCCAGGCGCACGTTCAGATAAAAAATTCAGAGGCGCTAGCGCTAGTTAGCGCTAACGCTAACGCTCGAGAGCGCTAGCGCTAGCGCTCGCTTTGCCCCTGCCTTGTGGTCATATCCAAAAACTTCACTGAATGTGAAATAAAAAACACATAAGTTCCATAGTTTTTTCTTGAGAAAAAAATACAAAACAGCTTTTGCCTCAGGAAAATTAGTTTTGAATTTTTAAAATTCGAAGACGAAGTCAAAGCATAAAATAAAAAATTTCTCAATTTAGATCTCGAAAAGATCTACAACTCCATTTTTTTTAATTTTTTTTTTGAGAATTGTTTTATGTCTAAACGATATGCCTGAAAGTCGCAGCCGCACCCAACCGCGGCCGGAGCCGAGGCGGCCGTGATCATGGCCGCCCTCCAAGTTTGACGCCGCGGCCGTGGCCGCGGGTGATACATAGGACAGCGGTGCCCACATAGCCTCCCAGAACTCCTTGGGGAAGCCGCCGATGCCAGGGGTCTTATCTTCCTCCGTTTAGAAATCATACTGGATAGAGGACGATGAAGACGTGACTGCCATGGTAGTATATCTTTTGAAGAGTGTAGAGACGTAAACTAAATTTCCCTGCTCACCTATGTCACCTGTACATTTGAATGTTGAGAGAGTCCCCTCCCAGCGAGCGTCACTGGGCAGAAACGCGAATTCAACTACAGCCGCTTTAAGTTAACAGATGCGAATTCAACTACTAGATGCGAATTCAACTACTGTAACAACCGCTTTAAGTTAACACCTTACCATTAGGCGGGGCAAGACATGAAACACACGAATCCAGATTGGAAGTGCCTTAACTTGGTGAATGAACATAGATCTTTTACTTATTTGAATTATTTCTTGATTTCTTTCAAAACTTTTTTCAAATTTCCGACCTATGCTCTAACCTCTAAATTATTTCTTGATTTATTTCAAACCTCCTTTGTCAGGTTTTCTGTGCAGCAGCAGCCTGAGGCCTGCCAGCTAGTGCCAGGGTGTTGGTAATCCATGCCCGCATCTCTTCAAATTTCACATTCAATTTGTCAATAAGAAATGTATTCTTTGAATTTCTTTCTGACTCCTAGAGTCCGCATCTCTTGTGATAGATATGCTGCGGCCCTTGTTCCCAACCCAACCCACCCTTTCTAGCTGTACTTGTCAAGATCTTCATCCACAATGAAAACCTGAAACAAGTTCAAAAAACACAAAAGTGGTTTTCAGAGGGAGACAAAACTCTTGCCTATCTCACCCAACCTGGCTTTCTGGACATGACAGCGTGTCAGTGAGCGATCCTATCCATATCTCTGTTGGTTGATCTGTCTATTTTGAACCCATACCGAGTCATGACAGTTCCACTAGGGTTGAAGCGCTATTAGAGTGAAGGAAGAGAAGTATCTGGTGAGAGAAAGGGGTGACCGTCCCAGAAGAGGTCCATGCTGGGGAAATCAATCCAGTTTAAATTTGGCCATGTAAGTTACATGACTCTGTACTTCAAAGAGCAAACACTGTCAATAGGATGACATATCACTTCCCCATTATCTTCCAGCCATCTGTCTTAAAGTTTATGTCTGTCTATTACTGTGTCTAATTGTCCATCTGTCAATCTGTCTACTTACCTGTGTCTAGTACTGTCTACATGTTCTCTCTGCCATAATATATGATTGTTGTGACATGGCGATTCGGGGACTCTACATCTGGAAGGTTGCAAGATTTGAACCTGCAGAAGGAGAAATCGCTCGAGATTGCTGGACGGTGGTATTTGGTGAGTTAGAATCTCATTCACATATTACCTCGGGTCACCACTGACCTTCCTGCACATATGTTCAACTTGGTGTTGTGAACATATGATTGATACTGTAACATGAAAAAAAGAAGAAAAAAGGGGGAGAAAAAAAAAGATTGATACATGAATGCAAAAGCGAGAGGAACGAGTGAAGAAACTGAACTGACCATTGTCAAACAGTTACTACAAGCAATCTGAAGATTCTGAACCATAGAGAGAACATAACTCTACCTTTAGGATTATATCGGTTGTCCCTTGTGGCATGGATCTATAAATAGAAAGCATTACGAATAATCCCCCGTGGTGCAACTATAAATAGATTGCCCTGTGAGTAACTGTATGGCGCAAAGCTAAACAGAAAGGCTCGTCCTTCAAGACATCTGCTAACATTGCACCGATACAGAGAAGACTTCAGGGGCTCCTGCCAGCCTATCCAAGGATGACACACAAATAAGGATTTGAACTGGTCCAAAATTTTGAGAGAAGAAAATAGGAGTAGACCCCCCCCCCCCACTTCCCGCAAACCTCTAATTTGTTTGCCATAGTGCATAGCTACCTTGGCACATGTTCCTCCTCCTTTTCTCTTTCCTCTTTTTTTCTTCTTCTCCGTCTTCTTTTTTCTCTTCTTCATTCTCAGAGTCTTCGTCTTGAAGTTCTCCTTCTACTTCTCTGCTTAAAGCCTTTGTGTATGAGTGCGCACAATTGCTCATGGGGAAGGGTGCATATACATGCAGGGTTTGTAACTTCGTATTATTTTGGTATAATATCTTTTATGTAGTACTTGACTAGAGTCACTAGACTAAGTATGCCTATCCTTCGGGAATCGGGACATCCGTTAAAATTGGAACGATACAGAGAGAGAAGATTAGCATGGGCCCTGTGCAAAGATGACACAAATAAATCGAGAAATGGTCCAAATAAGTTAAAACAATGAAAAAAAGTATGCCTATCTTACCAAGTAATATTGGGTATACTTCTTAGGCAAGTTAGCTGTCTTGCTTGATACCTGCTGCCTTGTAACTTCTTCTGTGACATCCAGCCACACATGTACATGGAAATTGGACTCTTCATACACACACATGCATGCGGCACAGACATACACACATGAAGGAGCAGAAGAAGAGGAAGAGGAGCAAGGGTGCACGCATGTCACTTAACTCCTTGTCTTCATCCTCCTCCTCCTCTTCTTTTCCCTCCTATTCTTTTTCCTCCTCCTCCTCCACCTCCTCGTCATTATGTGTGCACCGTGTTCTTGTGTGTCAGAGTGTGTGCGTATGTATATTGATGTGTGGGTGACACTATCATGTCAGTGATGTCACTACGTTTGTGTGTGTGTGTGTGTGTGTCACTCTGTGTGTGTGTGCGCGCGCGAACGCGTGTGGGTGTGCTTACAAGCATGGGTGCGTGCAGTGCCATGCACCGCACTGGCCTCAGCACGAGGATTGAAGCTACAGTCAGACCACAACATCCAGATGGGGCCTGAGATCCATGACCACATTTGCTGTGAACATTCAGTTTTATTTGATCTATCAGACTCCGTCTCGTCCACACCAGGTTCTTGACCCCATGTTAGTGCCACAGACAAAATGCCACCTAATTTAGTGGCAGTGGTCATTAATGATTGGTTGGGTAAGAGAAGTCCACGTCTATTGAAATCGAATAATATGCCAAATATGTATGGCAAGGAAGGGCTTCTCAAGCTAGGACTCATATAGATCGGTGCGCTAGATAGAGACACACAATAAATGTCATCGTGAGGATGTCCTGCCAGTGGCTGCAAGGTGTAACCCACATTCATATTCTGAGGGTAGTGTGTAGCATGGGAACAGGTCGACAAACACAGCAAGACTGCACTACTATACTCTATTGAGCATCTTGAACTGCAATTTGCTGCAACCGTTGTGGAGTTAGACATGCGCTCAGGTTAGTTCTCTAATTGTGGAGAATCCCTGGAGACCGATTCAGGTCAAGAAGTAAGAAACTTTCCTTAAACTTTTCAATGTTCACCGATAGAACTTGGGGTTTGGGGCTGCCCCACCCACTGCACCCAGTGGGTGACCCAGCCATACTCAGATTTCTTTGCTCCTTCACCCAGTTCACGGTGTACACGGGCCACCAAAAGGCTCGCCTCACCAACAAGGAAGAGAAATTGTTCATGGGAAGAAGAGAGGATATCAAGATTCTCAGAGATTTGAAACTAGCAGCACAAAACACGGCACTCATATTATTGTCAACTGTACAGCGTCACAGCGTGTCAAGCTTGACCAGTTCGGCAGAACGCTCCTCTCATCTTTTGGTGGTATTTTCGAGTATCTTACCTCATGTACTACCAAATACACACAACACGGGAGGATATTATGGGAACAGATAACTGAGATAAAACATCTAACCATTTAGTACTAGGCCAAAGGATTTAAGCGAAAGCCTTGTCGTGTGCACACATATATTAGGGGCTCATACAGCTGAGCAGAGCCAGCAGTGGTCAACCACCTCCACATTTTTCACTCCTCCATTAGAGCTCTCAGCCCAGGCCACATGTCATGTTCGTTATTTGAAGACCACCTCCACATTTCTCGCTTCTTCCGAATCATTCACGGCCCACACACCTCATGTTCCTTCCTTGAAGAGTCAATGAAGACCAACTTGAAGTACTTTTGCGTTGCAATCTCACAGTCTGCACATGTCATTTCCTGTCTCCATGGTGCAGCAAGACTGCAACACAAAGAAAGGAAGAGGTCCTCAATAAGACTCCGGGATCCGTCCCATAAACACCAAAACAGATCACCTTCCCACATGCCTAAGTCAGTGTCCCAACACAACCCATTTGGTCGTTTCCAAGTTCTGCACTGCAGAATCTGCACAATGATATTCTGCCCTATCTCATCGTATTGGCAGGCTAGCTCAACAAACTGGTGGGGAAACGAAATAAGAACATAGCCATGGAGAGGAGAGACTTACAACATAACAACAACAAAATCGCAAAGCCGTGGAGAGACTTAAAAACCATAACAACAACAAAATCGCAACCATAGTCGTGGAAAGGATTATCAAATAGAATAATAATTGCGAAAAGGATTATCAAATCAAATAGAATAATAACGACGTTACAAACATAAAGTCAAAATAGCCAATTGTGGAGGCCATCTTGATCATAGACAGCGCTTACCCTCACTCCCCCTCCCTCCAAACCCCTTCCCCCCCCCCCCCCCCCCCCCCCACCGGCTTCGGGCCCTCCCCCGCAAAAAAACTGCATATAAACTTTCCAGTCTTTCTTCCCCTAGACCCTGCCAATTTCTTGAAATTCCTCTCAAACCGGTAGGGAAACTCAAGCGTCATGAACTTCTGAGGAGGGCGCTATTGAGCACTGCATACTAACTCCAAGCCACACTGCATAACTCCCACGGTCCCACCTCACGTGACCTCTGAGGAGGGTCACCGTGCACCGTGACGGCGTGCAGTTAGTTACATGTGTGTGCCATTTATTCAACCAGATGGGGTCACCGTGGGCTTATTTCCGAACTTTCTAATGATGCTTCAAGGGACAATTTCGTACCGTCAACTCAGTTGAACTCACTTATCGTTTGGTACCCTCCCTTAGCCCTGCTACATGGGGTGACTGACAACAGTGACAAGTCTGACATTAAACCCAAAAGGCCACTAGTACCCGTTCCATGACCCTGATTGCGAAAAAGGTCAAGATTCGGAATCCATTATGGATCTCATCTTTCCGCGTTTAGAATTGTCCAGTGTCTCCTCCTCCTCGCTCTCTCTCCTTTCACTGCCATGAGTTTCACACCCCCTCTTTCGTCGCCTGTGGTATACCCCCCCCTTCGTTCAAACCCGTTGCTGGCATTGCCCCCCCCCCGCCCTGCCCCTTGCCGTGGTCATTGGCCGTTAGCCTCACACTCCCGTTCATCGTCCGTTGCTGGCATTGGCTCCCCCCCTGCCGTGGTCATTGGCCGTTGGCCTGAGGCAGGCGAAGAGGGAGCTGGAACTCCGCCGTACCTTCTCCGTACGGAACTCTTCGTTCTCCTGATGCAACCTTCTTATCCTGTTCTGCATCTCCTCGATTTGCCCTTCCAGCTCCCGGACGCTATGCTCCATCTCTCTGGCCTCTTCTTCCATGGCCCTCTTCATGCCGGCCAGTGTGTCGTCCGAAGCCATGCGTTTTAACCGGAGCCCGGCAAGGTCCGCCTCCATCCCCTTCTTCTCCTCCATGGCGTGATGAAACTCGGTCTCCACCTTGCGGAACTCTGTCAGCTGCTTGTCAAGCACCTCTCTGAGGTGTGCCTTGATGCTCGCAAGGATTTGCACAATGAAGGGAAGAGGAAGCGAGTCCCACATTGTGGCGGCGCGCTCTGCTACCGCCTGGGAGAGCAGTGACGGATCTATCAAATTACACAAGTGAGGGAGAGCGTCCCTCCTCTCCGCGGCGGAGAGGAAGTGGTCCGGCCCGGACGCCCATGTCATCACAGCTTTGAACAGATCGTCATGACTAACCCTCATCTCGGGCGGAACGGACTCAGCCAGGGCCATGAACTGCTCTGCACTGAGTGGGCGACCACCCCTACCACCTCCCCCCGTCAGCATTTCGCTGTCATTGTGCCAGCTTCCATTGTTAACTGCGCGAAGAAGGTAGTCGTCTATCAATGCCGCAACCTTCTTCACCGACGCACGATCACCAGCAGCGCCACAGCTGTTAGTACCCGACAGGTCATTGCCGCCATAGCTGTGGTCATCAAGCGCGAGATCCTCCTCGGCGGCCGCATTGAAAGCGCGGATCAACGCCAGAAACTCCTCGACATCCGTGCCAATGAGATTCAGATCCTCGATATCCATATCGTCCAGCCGTGCGCCGGCCATCCGTTCCAGCCTTTGCCGGACATCGCTGCTTGCATCGAACAGAACAGAGCACCTCAGCAGCTTAAGCAGGGTGGAAACGCGAACAGCGCGCTTGTCCTCAGGCAGCAGGTCGGTCAAGGCCTCCACAATCTCGCGGTATCGCAGGACCTCCTGCCGTGGCAGACGAGAGACCGGCATGCATGACCCTCCTTCAAGTTGGCTTTCCCTCTCTCCGTAAAGGACACACTCGAGAGGGCCGTCGGACGAAGAAGCAGACTCGGTCACAGCGGCTAGCCATTCGCAGTCCGAAGCGTCAAATGCCGTCGACGTGCTGTCGGCGGCGATATCAGCGCCGGGGGCAATCGAGCCACCACCGGCTTTTGTATGGGTGTGATCGGCAGCCGGAGAGAGGGGGAGGGCCAGACTAGACGACGGGGTGGCCGACAGGCTCCCGTTGGCCAGCCATAACCTGCAGTATGCCTCCACCGAGGCGCCGATCGCTGACGCGGGGAGACGTGCGACGTACATGGCCTCCACGATCTTGACGTAAAGGGTGAGGGGTAGGCTCAGCACCGACTCGTGAGTCGGAATGGTAGCCAGCAAGCTCGCCTCCCTCTTCGTGCTGTCCTTGGCTATGGAGGTGGTCTGGCAAGCCTTGGCTATGGCGGTGACGCAGCGCTGGACGATCTCGCTCCCTTCCCCAGTGTTCACCAGTGGTTCGCAGCGATGGAGGACGGCCACAGCGTCTGACCAGTAGCTGAGGAAACGTTGCAGAGTTGTGTCGGTCAGCATCATCAGGTTCCCTTCCCTCGCGAGTCCCGCTCGCGATTCCGTCTTCATCTCCAAGTACTCCGCTGATGCACAGGCGCAAAAACGGACAAAGATAAGAGGACAAACGGACAAAGATAAGAGGACAAATGATCAGATCATAAGGAAACTGATAAGCAACGGCCATGCCACGTCCCACCATGAAAGAGAGAAGGGATGTAAAGGCAATCACGTGCAAATAGAGAAACAGTTTTTTGCGCAAGCGCGGCACGAAGAGCGACGGAAGTTGATATACGATACCGATTTGACTTAGCAAATGAAACGATAAGGTACAGCTCGGACAAGGCAGGTTTTGCGTGTTGGCCCTTGCCCTTCATGGTACGGGTGCACAGAATCGTGTGTGTCGCCGGTGGAGGCCCAACTAACATAAATAACGAGCGAGTGTTTTGCCACTA